CCCTTCCCCCTCCCCCGCACATCGCGAGATCGCCCCTTGGAATACTCATTAAGTAGTCTCTCGGAAACCAACCCGCGCGCGCGCCGCAGAGTCCTGCGTATCGCGTCTCTCTCTCCCGCAAAGACTAACTCCGACAAGCAAGCAGTGGCTCTCACTTTCTCCCCCCCCCCTTCACTCTCTCCCTCTCTCTGTCACCTTCCTTTAAGTCCTTGACAGTAGGCCGCCTGTGCCCGCCCACTAGCCCAGTAACACCGAAACCCGTCCGGATTTTAGCCAAGAGGCGGTCCGAGGAAAGTGACGCAAATTTCTGTGTAAAGCAGAAAAAAAAACGCTCTGCGATTAGGCCAATTGGTTAAATTTTCAGCAAGTACATCAAATTCAATTAATTCGAAGAAAACAAAAGTGCTTTAAACAATTATGCTTTGTTTATGTGACGCACAATAAAAATGACGATAAAGTAGGGGACTCACCGTTCTGTTGGCAAGGTTCTTGACGCGACACTTGAGGTAGGCCGTCTTGCCGACGAGCGCAGTGACGTTGTTGGAGACCGACGTGTCAAAGTACGGCCCCCGAAACGAGTAGGGCGGCTCCTCGTCCAGCTGCTGCTGCTGCTGCTGCTCCGACGAGGCGACCACCGCCGCCGCCGCGGCCACCTGCAGCTGCTCGTGCTCTCCATGGCGCTGCTGCTGCTGCGCCTCCAGGTGGACCACGGCGTCCGACGGCGCGTGGGGGTAGTAGGTCTCTTGGCTCCGACCTGAAATCAACGCAAAAAAGAAAAGGCGTTGAAAAACCAAAACTCTCACCGAGACAGCGAGTATTTATTTCACGGAGGAATTGATTAGCTGTATACAGCTCAATAACCAATGTAGCTGAATGAGGGATAAACTAATTACGTTACAAGCAATAAACCCGAGTATAAATCTATCTGTATATTATAGCTACACAGCTGAAAGTTCAGCTACGTGTAGCTAAATGTTTGGCTACAAGCCACATACATAATTGTTAGCTAAACAGCGAAATATGTGTCTGTTTAGCTAGCTGAAATTTTAACTAAAAAGCTAAACTTTTACATGATAGCTAAATAATTGGTTACCCTGCATCAAGCTTTGTTTGATTACATATAGATCATCTCTTTCCCCGTTTGAAAACGCCTGCAGGCACTGCAAAGAGTTCCCCGCGACTGTGTCTATTTATCCCTATTTATCCAGCGGGTTTATCGGGGGCTTTTTGAGCGGGGCGGTTCCAGGCGTCCCCCCGGGGCGCGCCTCGCAAAGGAGAGGGTAGTACAGTGCGCTACAGCAAACTCAAGGGGCCGGCGGGCGGGACTCGGCGGCTGAAAAGCGAACACATGAGATTTATATCAGCGACATGAGGGAGTTGCCTTTTTTCTCCCCCACCCTCTCCTCCTTCTCACCCCTGATGACACAGCGCGCTCCGAGGGCATCGTTTGGTGTTCACAGCGTTTCTCTCTGTCTCTCACACATGGTACATGTGTGTGTTTCAGTGCGAGTCTGTGTGGGTGAGTGATAGTGAAGGAACAAAAAAACAAAAACAAAAAAAAGATGGAGAGGCCATAGGAGCGGGATGAAAGAGAAAGTGGAGGAGGGGGCAAACGGGAGAGGAAACGATAAGGTCATCCTTATGAGATGGCACTCTGGGCTACGTCAGCTCGCAAAACAAAAAAACATTAACCTCACTTTTAAAGGTAAACTGGTTCCCCAGAAAAAGAAATCACGAGTGATGTAGCTATCAAGCGTGCCAACTTGGAAAAGCATGAAGAACCTACATCAACTTTCATTAGAGGCCCCAACATTACAGGCCCACCCTACAATTAGGTACGGAATGCGTACAAACGATGGTGATTTCAATTCCGATAGACTTAGTTTCGACGAGCGACCGGGGGGGGGGGG